GATGTCAGAATAGCCCCATAGAGCTGCTGTTTGGATGTAAACTTCCTCCCACCCTCATAGATCTTTTGCTTGAGGATGCTCCAAAGGTTCTCAATAGGATTGAGGTCAGGGGAGGATGGAGGCCACACCGTGAATTTCTCTCCTTTTATCCCCATAACAGCCATTGATGCAGAGGTATTCTTTGCAGCATGAGATGGTGCATCGTCATTCATGAAGATGATTTTATTACGGAAAGCATAGTTCTTCCTTCTGTACCAGGGAAGAAAGTGGTCAGTCATAAATTCCACATACTTTGCAGAGGTCATCTTTATACCTTCAGGGGCTCTAAAGGGGCCGGCTCGCTCTGTTCCCATGATTCCAGCCCAAAACATGATTCCACCACCGCCTTGCTGACGTCGCAGCCTTGTTGGAACAGGGTGGCCGTCTACCAACCATCCACTACTCTATCCATCTGGACCATCCAGGGTTGCACGGCACTCATCAGTGAACATTACTGTTTGAAAATTAGTCTTCATGTATTTTTCTGCCCAATGCAGCCGTTTCTGCTTGTGAGCATTGGTTAGTGGTGGCCGAATAATAGGTTTATGCACAGTTGCAAGACTCTGGAGGACTCTACACCTTGATGTTCGTAGGACTCCAGAGGCACCAGCAGCTTCAAATATCTGTTTGCTGCTATGTGATGGTATTTTAGCAGCTGCTCTCTTGATCCAATGCATGAATCTGGCAGAAATCTTCCTCAATGTGCCTTTATCTGCACAAACCCATCTGTGCTCTGAATCAGCCACAAATCTCTGAATAGTGCGATGATCACGCTTAAGTTTTCGTGAAATATCTAATGTTTTTATACCTCATCCAAGGCATTGAACTATTTCACTCTTTTCGGCAGAAGAGAGATCCTTTTTTCTTCCCCATATTGCTTGAAAATTGTGCTCTGCTTAATATTGTGGAACACCGTCTTTTAGTAGTTTTTCCTTAAATTGGGCTCACCGGACAATCTAATTATCACAGGTGTCCGAATGTCGCAGAATACATTTTGGCCTAAATTTATGACGAATTTTGATTTTTAGATTTTTTTACTGGACATGTTTAATAGCAAAAAGTCCAGAAAATTGTTTTTTTTTTTTTCTCAAAATTGTTGGTCTTTTTTTTTTATAGCGCAAAAATAAAAAACAAACAGGTGATCAAATACCACCAAAAGAAAGCTCAATTCGTGGGAAAAAAAAGACATAAATTTAATTTGAATGCAGCGTTGCATGACCGCTTAACTGTGAGTTAAAGTAACGCAGCGCCTAATGCAAACCGGTTCTTTAACTGCTTCCTGACAACCCTAAAGCAGAGATACTGCTAAAGGGCGGCATGGGTGTGAAAAATCACGTATACAGGTGAAACTCGAGTTCATTTATTTCAGTAATGCAACTTAGAAGGTGAAACTAATATATGAGATAGACTCAATACATGCAAAGCAAGATAGTTCAAGCCGTGATTTGTCATAATTGTGATGATTATGGCTTACAGCTCATGAAAATCCCAAATCCACAATCTCAGAAAATTTCAGTATGTACAGAATATTACATGCAATCAATAAAACAAGGATTGTACATAGAACAATATCGGACCTCTGAAAAATATAAGCATACATATGTACTCAGTACTTGGTTTGGGTCCCTTTTGCAGCAATTACTGCCTCAATGCGGCGTGCAATGGAAGCTATCAGCCAGTGTTATGGAAGACCAGGATGCTTCAATAGCAGTCTTCGGCTCTTCTGCTTGGTTCGGTCTCATGTCTGTCATCTTTCTCTTGACAATGCCCCATAGATTCTGTATGGGGTTCAGGTCAGGCGAGTTTGCTGGCCAATCAAGCACAATAATCCCGTTGTCATTGAACCAGGTTTTGGTGCTTTAGGCAGTGTGAGCAGGTGCCAAGTCCTGCTGGAAAATGAAGTCAGCATCCCCATAAAGCTCATCTGCGGAAGAAAGCATGAAGTGCTCCAAAATCTCCTGGTAGACAGCTGCATTGACCCTGGACTTAATGAAGCACAGTGGACCAATACCAGCAGATGACATGGCTCCCCAAATCAACACAGACTGTGGAAACGTCACACTGGACTTCAAGCATCTTGCAGTGTGTGCCTCTCCATTCTTCCTCCATACTCTGGGTCCTTGGTTTCCAAATGAGATGCAAAAGTTGCTCTCATCAGAAAAGAGGACTTTGGACCACTGAGCAACAGACCAGGTCTGTTTTCCTTTAGCCCAGGTAAGATGCTTCTGATGTTGTGTGTTGTTCAGGAGCGGCTTGACAAGAGGAAAACGACATTTGGAGCCCATGTCCAGGATCCATCTGTGTGTGGTGGCTCTTGATGCACTGACTCCAGCCTCAGTCCACTCATTGTGAAAGTCTCCAACACTTTTGAATGGCCTTTTCCTGACAATCCTCTCCAGGCTGCGGTCATCCCTGCTGCTTGTGCACCTTTTTCTTCCACACTTTTCCCTTCCACATAACTTTCTATTAATGTGCTTTGATACAGCACTTTGGGAACATCCAACTTCTTTTGCAATTACTGTTTGAGGCTTTCCCTCCTTATGGAGGGTGTCAATGATGGTTTTCTGCACAACTGTCAGGTCAGCAGTCTTTCCCATGATTCCTACTGAACCAGACTGAGAGACCATTTAAAGGCTCAGGCAGGAGCGGACTGACCATTTGGAAACTCGGGCACTGCCTGAGGGTCCGGGGTCAGTAGGGGGCCCCATGAGATGCCCTTGGTACCTTTTTCATAGACTTTTTTGAGTTTGGGCAAAGACTCAGGGGCCCCATGATCCCCTATTGCCCGGGGGCCCCATGAGTTGTCAGTCCGCCCCTGGGCTCAGGAACCCTTTGCAGGTGTTATGGCTTAATTGGCTGATAAGAGTGGGACACTTTGAGTCTAGAATATTGCACCTTTTTACAATATTCTAATTTTCTGAGATTAGGGATTTGGGGTTTTCATGAGCTGTAAGCCATAATCATCACAATTATTACAAATCACGGCTTGAGCTATCTTGCTTTGCATGTAATGAGTCTATCTCATATATTATTTTCACATTTTAATTTGCATTACTGAAATAAATTAACTTTTGCACGATATTCAAATTTTTTGAGTTTCACCTGTATATACATGGTTTTCACACCCCTCCCAGATAGTGTCAGATTGTCCATCAGTACACCAGTAATCACATTTAACCCCCTGATCACCAGGAACACACTAATACACAATGAACCTCCTTTGCTAGTATAGTATCTGAACGGATCAATATCTTTCAGCACTGTACCAGCTTTCACATTAGTATAGTGTCCCCAAAAACACAGCGTTAGCGGGATCAGCCCCGGCACCTGCGTTTAGCCCCTATGCTTACCCCCCCTTCTCCCCCAGTAAGTGCAGTGTCAGTTGGTCACTGTCACTTGATACATTGCACACAAAACCACAGTGTTCGCAGAATCAGGCCTGATCTCTGCTAGCACTTGCCGGTAAATGTTGATGACTCTCATATGCAGCAGAGTGCCAGTACTGGTGCCGCTCTACCTTTTGGTGAACTGGCGAGCACTAGCAGCCTAGTACATCTTGGTCTTTCACATACCAGCACTGCAGTATCACATGGTGACGTGGCAAGCACAAGTATTGTCCCACAGCCACCAAGAATTCGAACACAGGCCTGTAGAGCCCAAAGTATCCTTCTGGATGTGCTTGCAAATCCCGATTGGCAGCCCACAAATTCTGCAGCACCCGTACGTCCCCCATTCACTGCCCAACCCGAAATTCAGATAGAAAATTTAACTACTCCCCTTGATTTTTTTGGAGCTGTTTTTCATGGAAGATCTATATGCATTGATTGTGGATCAAAGCAATTTATATGCACAACAATTTTTCGCCACCAACACAAATTCAAACCTTGCCAGACCATTAGTGTGGAAACCCATTGCGGTTTCCGAATTTACATTTTTTTGGGCCTAACCCTCAACATGGGTGGTTGTATTGGTCCTCAGACCCATTTATTATTATTATTATTATTATTATTATACAGGATTTATATAGCGCCAAAAGTTTGCGCAGCTCTTTACAATATAAGAGAGACAGTACAATTACAATACATTTCAATACAGAAGGAATATGAGGGCCCTGCTCGTGGAGGATATAATGTAAGAGCACAGGAGATATCTAGCGTCTGATAGACCCCAGATTTCTCAAAAAAGAATATATGACATTGCCCATTGAAGTTATAGGATATATTTGTATTCCCGTGATAGCATTAAAAGTGGTCAAAAAAAAAAAAAAAAAAAAATGAAAGGGACAGTGTAAAAATAATTTAAAAAATCAAAATAACTTAAAAAAAGCATTCTTGCCCTCCGTGCGTGCACACTTGTGTGCCCGAGCGTTGACCCTGTGCCTGTATGTAAACAGCGGTTGCACCATGCATATGAGATATTACCACAAATGTCAGATCAAGGGAAGTAATTCTTCTAGTACTAGACTTCCTTTGTAAATCTAAAATGGTAGCTTGTAAAGGCTTTTAAAGCGTTGCCTATGGATTATAAAAATGTATGCAGTTTGTCGCCATTGTAAGGGGCATGCACAGTTTCAAAGCATGTCATGTTTGGCATCTATTGACTCAGCATACCATCCTCTTTTATAGTTTACCAAATAATTGGCCAATATATTGTGTTTTTGTGCATTAAAAGTAAAAAAAGTGTATTTTTTTTTTAAATTTGTGTTTCAAAAATCACTGCGTGAGAACTATGTGACATAAAAAATTTCAGCATCCACCATTGTATTCAGTAGGGCATCTGCTTTAACCACTTCCTGACACTTTTACCCCCTTCCTGTCCAGGGCAATTTTCAGCTTTCAGCACTATCACACTTTGAATGACAATTGCGCGGTCATGCAATACTGTACCCATATGAATTTTTTACCATTTTTTTGAGACAGATAAAGCTTTATTTTGGTGGTATTTATTCACCGCTGGGATTTTTATTTTTTTTACTATGTAAATGAAAAAGTCCAAAAATTTTGAAAAAAAGTGTTTTTTTAAATAAAATTTTGCAAATAAATAATATTTCATCCTAAATCTTGGCCAAAATTTATTCCGTTATTTTTTTAGTAAAAAAAAAAATCCAAATTAGTTTATAACCAAAAATTATCATTTTTAAACATTTTTTTTAGATTTTTATTTTATTTTTTTTATATTATTATTATTTTTTTTTTTTTTTACATACTGTCACCCTAGCAGTACAGTGTCACCATGGTGACACTGTACTACTTGTGGGGGGTGATGAAGATTTTTTTTTTTTTTTTTTTTTTTACACTGATTGCTTTTACACCCATATAAGATGTAAAAGCAATCATTTCTCTTTCTCTCTGTCTGCATTCTTGCAGTCATTGAGAGATACTGAGTGAGCTGTGATTGGTCACAGCTGGTCACATGGTACAAGGGTGTTGTGAATAGCCTTGTACCATGTGACCTCTGTGATCATTCACAGATTTCACACGTGGTAAGCAATGATGTCACAAGTGACATCTTGCTTACTACTTTGCATGTGATCACTGATTCGCCAATCAGTGATCACATGACCGGGACCTCGTACAGAGGTCCCGTCCGACGATCGACTGTGTCCTGAGGACACAGCGGACACCGGATCGCGGTGGTGCGCGCTCCTAGGGAGCGCGCACAGCTAGAAAAGGCGGGTGCCGTTTAGGAACGGCAACCCGCCCCTGGACTGCCACCGCCCTGCCGTTTATAAACAGTAGGCGGACGGCAAGAGGTTAAAAAAATACAAAATGTTTGGAGATTCAAAGTAATTTCCAAGCAAAAAATACAGAGTTTTTTCATGTGAACAAAAAGTGTCAGAAAAGGCTTGGTCTTCAGGTGGTTAGAAGAGTGAATGATGTGTGGCATAAACTTCTAATGCTGGGCATAAAATGCCCCCCCCAAAACGACCCTTTTTTGGAAAGTAGGCACCCCAAACTATTTGCTGAGAGGCATGTTGAGTTAATAGAATAATTTATTTTTTTTACCACAAGTTTTTGGAAAATGACAAAAAAATATATATTTTTTTTTACACAAAATTGTCACTTAAATGACTTACTGCTCACACATGCCATGGGTATATGTGGAATCACTCACCAAAATACATTCTGCTATTTCTCCCAAGTATGGGGGTACCACATGTGAGAGAGACTTTTTACCAGACCAGCCAAGTACAAGACCCCAAAATCCAATAAGGACCTTCAGGCTTTTAAAGGGCTTTATTTCCTCATTACACTTCCTGACTACCTATCACAGTTTTGGAGGCCCTGAAATGCCAGAATAGCCCCAAACCCCCCCAAATGACCCCTTTTGGAAAATAGACACCCCAAGGAATTTGATAAGAAGCATGGTGAGTATTTTGCACATCTTGTTTGTTGTCACAAGTGTTTGGAAAATGAAGAAAGAAAACAAAAGCATATTTTTCATTTCTTTTTTTATATTTCAAAACCTTGTGAGAAGAAATGAGATCTGCAAAATACTCACCATGCCTCTTTTTAAATTGCTTGAGGTATCTACTTTCCAAAAAGGGGGGGGGGAGTTGGTGCTATCCTGGCATATAAGTACCGCAGAAACTGTGATAGGTAGTGAGGAAGTGAAATGAGGAAGTTACGCACCTTCAAGCTTTCAAAGTGGTCACTGGATTTCAGGCTCCTGTATGTGGCTACGCTCCAGGGGCGGACTGACAACTCATGGGGCCCCCGGGCAATAGGGGATCATGGGGCCCCTGTGTCCTTGCCCAATCTCAAAAAAGCCTATGAAAAAGGTACCAGGGGTATTTTATGGGGCCCCCTACTGACCCCGGGCCCTCGGGCAGTGCCCAAGTTTCCAAATGGTCAGTCCGCCCCTGCTACGCTCCCAAAAAGTCTCACACATGTGGTGTCCCCATACTCGGTAGAAGTAGCAGAATGTATTTTGGGGTGTAATTCCACATATACCCATGGCTTGTGTGAGAAATATATCATTTAAATGACAACTTTGTGTAAAAAAAAAAAATGTTTTTGTCATTTTCCAGAAACTTGTGGAAAAAATAAATCTTCCATGGACTCAATATGACTCTCAGCAGATAGCTTACGGTGTCTACTTTCCAAAAAGGGGTCATTTGGGGATGTTTGTGCTGTCCTGGTATTTTAGCACCTTAAGAAATGTGATGGGCTATAACTTTCACACAAAGCAATCAAGATACACTTATTGGGATATGTGTAGAAGAATACATTTTGGCCTAAATTTATGACAAAATTTTTGGATATTTTTTATGACAGAAATTAGAAAATATCATTTTTTTTTGTTTATAGCACCAAAATAAAAAACATACAGGTGATAAAATACCACTGAAAGAAAGCTCCATTTGTGTGAAAAAAAGGATGTAAATTTTATTTATGTACCGTATTGCATGACTCTGCAATTGTCAATTAAACTAGTGCAGTGCTTTAAAAAAGAAAACCCTATTTGTGTGAAAAAAAGGACGTACATTTCGTTTGGGTACAGCATCGCATGACCGTGCAATTATCAGTTGAAATGCAGTGCTGAATAGCAAAAAGAGGCCTGGTCATTAATGGAGGTAAATCCTTAGGATGGCAAGTGGTTAAACGCGTTTACATGCTTTTTTGCTGCATTTATAATTTTTGGCTCAAAAGTTTCTTTCCTGAACGCGATTATTCTGCATTCAGAAGAGGAACGTATAACTGTCCCTAAACTCTTCTGCTCCTAAACTCTGGTAAAAGCCTATGTGTACATGGGCACATAGGTTTTTACTGAGTTAAGTTCAGGGGCTTTGGCAAAAAAAAAAACCTCCTAAACTCATGTTTAGGAACAGCAGTGTACATGAGGCCATAAAACATGTCTTGTGTTTACTGGACTCTTAATTACCTGAATGAACTCAGTGAGCATTTTTTACAGATCACTCCTGTGTTCATTCATAACTGAAGCATAGCAACCCGTGTTTACTTTTCTTCAGTTTATGAATGAACAGGAAGCCTCTGTACAGAGCACCAAAAGGCCAAAAGGGCTATGATTCCTGCCATGGCCAAAAAGTGTGAAAATTGTTGATCGTTGAGTTCTCACAGCCACTGTGAGCAGGGAGCTCAGACTATCATTCACCGCTGTCTGTTCTGCTCCCCCCTCCTCCCCAGTGCTCACTGGTGTGCTGGGCTGTGCAAAGGGGCGGAGTGGTTGGTTCAGGCTCTCAGTGGCTCGCTGAGAGGCTGAGCCAGGTGCCACTCCAGACTCTGGAGTTGATCCTGACTTTAAAGTCGGCATCTTTCCCCAGCTTGGAGTGAGGTCAGCCCACTGTCAGCTAAAAGCAGGTCACAGGAGTACAGAGGTTGGTTCAGGCTCTCAGTGGCTCGCTGAGAGGCTGAGCCAGGTGCCACTCCAGACTCTGGAGTGGATCCTGACTTTAAAGTCGGCATCTTTCCCCAGCTTGGAGTGAGGTCAGCCCACTGTCAGCTGAAAGCAGGTCACAGGAGTACAGAACTGTGCTCCTGTGATCCAAATGAGAAGAACAGCCAAAAGAGCTTTGGCTGTACTTCTCCTTTAAGTGAGTAGCAGTCGGGGGGGGGGGGGGGGGGGGGGGCAGAAAGGCATGGCTAACCATAGGATTTTACTGCCCATAACCTCACATGTGAAAGAGTGGTTTGTTCATGGGGCTGGAGCCTCCTGGTACTCCATAGGGCACAGCGGCTGTATGAACACAGCCACAAGTTCTAATTTGACAGTTGTGTAGATGTAAATGAGTGGCCCCAAATACACACTGTTTGTGTTTGGTGTCGTACACCTGCACCCCCACACTTGCAGTGTCCATGTGAATAAGTTCTAAGACCTCATTTACACACACAGCTTTATTTATTTCCTTTTAGATTTAGCAGGAATGTGTGCATTATGTTGTGTTTGTGTCCGCTAAAAATGATTTTAGTGTATTTTTAGCGAAACTATCTTTCTGACAGAGGCCCTATCAGGTAGACTGTATGGGGCACCATGAATTCTAACAGCAGTCCTGTGTTTGGGGGATAAGATGTGGCGATAAGGCCTTCGTCCTCACAACATGAGATAAGGGGCAGCAATGTCAGAAGGAAAGATCCACAAGCAGCACATCAAAGGAAGATCCATGTGCATGAGGAGAGATGAATGGCAGTCTCAGCCTAGACTCCAGCCAGACCTTCTGACATTGCTGTAGCTTGGAGCCAGGATGAGCTCCCTATCCCTGCAAGCACTCACAGCAGTTTAGATTTGACCTCATCTCCCTACCTGAGTGGCACCTAATCTTGTCTTTTTGGGTCAGATGAAGATAAGGGGGTTAATTTACTAAAGCCAAATAGGCTTTTTATTTTGTAAGGGAATTTTCTCCAAAGCCTACTGAATGTGGTGAAAAAATATCTAAACACATGTATAGTAGCAGGTAGTGCAGCTGTAAAATCCCCCGCTGCCTTGTGCCTGCACTCCTTCTTCACCCACCCACTGTGAGAAGTAAACTGTGAGAAGTGGCTGTCTGTGCTGGATCTGCTGTGTGCATGCTTGATCCCCGCTTCCCCCCTCACTACACGGGCTGCTGTGTAAACAAATGGCTGTGTAGCTGCAGGCTGTGGGCTTTCCTTTCAGGCCTCATTTCCTGCTGCTCTGGGCTGTGTGATCCCCTGCCTGTTCCTGCTCTCTCCGTCCCTCCTTGAAACAGCAGATTGAAGCCAATCAGCAGATGGATGATTTACTATGCAGTTGCCATACATTCTGCAACAGTAGTCCTTAAAGGAGCATCGTTGGATACAACTGAATTAAGATGAATGGGCTGTGGACTACAAGGGGCACTTTGCACAAGAATGGAGGAAAGACAGAACTTTTTACAGGCAGCTCTAGAGAGATTGGGGTCTGGAAAGTGCAGGCCCATCACTAGTGTGTCTGTGCCTACTCTAGGAAAGACACAGACCTGTTGCTGGTGTTTGAGCATTGCACCAGTGAGACTAAATGAGATATCACTTGGTGAGCTGGAACCAGAGCTGGGAGGACCTGTTGCTATGAATGTCTACGGCAAGAGAGAACCAACCAGGATCCATTGGAAAACAAGACATGTTGCCTCAATGCATTGTGGCTGCACTGGAAATAGCTGTTTGTTCAAAATATGTAAGTACTTTAGTAAACATAGTCTGGGGAGAGGTTCACTTTAACCTCTTCGCACCAGCACCTCCTGGCCCTTTAAGAGTTTCAGAAGCCGGGAGGCAGGCAGGGTTTTAGGGTCATGCGACCGCCGTGATTTGCCATCACGACGGTCACATAATCGGAAAAGGTCCTGATCGAAAGAGGAGATTGGGACCTTTCCGTGAGTCAGGGACATATGTGCTGGGAGCGTGCAGGGCATGATCTCTCAGCACATATGTATTTTCTAATTGCACGCAAACATGCGGCCACTCGGCATCAAGGCCCTGATGCAGAGAGGCCGCATGTTTGCGTGCGCTCGGTGTCAAGGGGTTAAATATAAATTTGAAAGATTGGTATTACCACATGTAATAATGTAACTGCATTAGCAATATATACGTATATAATATCATGCATACTAAGAGGTTGATTTATTAAAACTGGAAAGTGCAGAATCTGGTGCAGCTGTGCATAGAAACGAATCAGCTTCCAGGTTTTTTGTCAAAACTTAATTGAACAAGCTGAAGTTAGGATTGGCTACCATGCACAACTGCACCAGATTCTGCACTCTCCAGTTTTAGTAAATCAACTCCAGTGTCTATTATTGTGTGTATGCTATATTTCAGTATATGCTACTGAGATCTGTAATCAACAAGATTTTTTACAACCAGATGTACGGAACAAGAAAAAATGTAAAAGGGAGCCTTATGCTCCACCTACTGAGTGGATATGAGGATACCAAATAATCAAATGCAATCTTTCAAATTTTCCTGACCGAAAAAAAATAGAAAAATAATAGTTAGCAACCACCAAATAAAAAGAGAAATGAGAAATAATAAACAATGTACAATAACACTTTATATTACCTTTAATAACCATATTTGTCATGTTATATAAAAGTGTATCCAAGGACCCAGGTGCTTTTTAACGGAATGCTTTACTTCTTTATTTCTTAAACAATATATTAGAGGATTAAGTATAGGTGTTATCACAGTGTAAAAAACTGCAACTACTCGATTAAGAGTAAAAGCAAAGCTTACTTTAGGCCTAACATACATAAATATAACAGTACTATAATAAATAAACACAACAATTAAGTGTGCAGAACAGGTAGAAAATGTTTTTCTTCCATTTTTACCAGATATACGTAAGACTGCTGCAAGGATATAAAAGTAGGAAATCAAAGTTACCAAGAAAGACAATAATATCACTAGGGAAGCACACATAAAATCCAACATATCAATTAGGTATGTGTCTGCACAAGAGAGTTGAAGTAGGGGGGGAGTATCACAAAAGAAATGGTTAATAATATGGCTTCCACAAAATGGAAGTTGGGAGATTAGGACAATGTGTGGGAATGTGGTCACAAAGCCTCCAATGACTGAGACTATGCTAAAACTGTAGCACATGGTATTATTCATCAGGGTTGTGTATCGCAATGGTTGACAGATGGCCAAGTAGCGGTCATACGCCATGACTCCAAACATAAAGCATTCTGTGGATCCCAAGAAAAAGAAGAAAAACAGCTGTATTATGCAACCAGGGAAAGAAATATATCTCCCATGTGGAGTAATAGTGGTGAGAATCTTGGGAACAATAACAGAAACATAACAAATTTCCAGAAAAGATAGGTTCCGAAGATAAAAATACATGGGAGTGTGCAGACTTCTTTCTATCCATGTAATAATGATGATCACAAAGTTACTCATAAGTGTTAATAGGTATGTTATCAGAAGGAGCAGGAAGCAAAAATATTGTAAATCAAGAGAGCCAGGAAACCCCAGGATTATAAATTCAGCTGGTTTGCTATGATTAACATACATCTAAGTGAACCAATAAAAGGGGAAAAAAGTATGATGGTGATGTACATTTTAATAAAATCTTTGAAATTTTGTTTATTACACAATTGCCCTCATTTAAATTATTTGTGGTGAGCTGGGTACAGATGTGATTGTGATTCATTGATTGATTGATACAAATTGTGAGTTTAACTATCATTTCACGCATCTTTAACACACAGCATTAATAGATATGCCTTGGAATAAGTGATCTATAAAACCTGCAGTCGAGGAATGAAACTTTTTTAACTTTTTGCCTGCACAATCCTTTTAATAGCAGTGTAAGGGTGTTGTTCAGGAGCACCAGAAATTATCTAAAGAGAGAAGGCATGAAAATGCAGTTGCATACAGCCATTTGTTGGTCAGATCTTTTGGATGAAAATGGAAAAATAGGTAAAAAAACCTAAATACTTAACATACTACCTTTAGAAACAGTGTTTAGCTCTCTAGCATTGCAGCAATGCTAGTAATTCTACACTT